AAATGTATGGTACTCATCACCCAATACGACGGCCTACCGAATTTATATACGGTACAATTTGATACTAATGATGTACATCCAAAACGTTCAACACCTTTGGTAAGCAAAGATCAGTAAATGTGAATGTACATAACCATGATTCAATAATAGTTGCGTTGGGTGGGCTTTAGTAGTCAGCCGCACCTTGTGTTTTAAGAAAACCAGGTGGAATTAACAAATGAAACTCGGTCAGGATGTTAAGGGAGGTATCCTCTAAAACATGTATAACTAAAAAATATAAACAATATCATTGTTTATAAGTTATTTGTTGTTAAAATTTTTTAAGTCGTTCCACTTGGTTTCCTTAACCAAAACCACATTTGTAACATACTTTCATATATATAAATGCACATAACACTACCTAATAGTTTAGGCACTTTTATTTTATTTTATCTGTATATAAATCACTTAAATCCAACTTTTATTAACTTGTAATTACATTACATTGCACCCATATTTACAATCATGATACAATAACACATGGTTGCAAACTGACACATAAGATGTTTTGCCATACCGTACAAAACAATACAATAGAAAGAACTCTACGTAGTGGGGGTTATAATCCCTAAGTGCGGCCGCAGGCCGCCTACGCAGAAAGCTGTTCTCTGCAAAAGTTGTTCCGCCCCCTTTTTTCGGCAACACAGAAAGGAGAATTCTACGTAGTGAAGGTTATAATCCCTAAGTGCGGCCGAACGCCGCCTACGCAGAAAGGTGTTCTCTGCAAAAGGTGTTCAGCCCCTCTTCTTTGGCAACACAGAAAGGAGAATTCTACATAGTGAGGGTTATAATCCCTAAGTGCGGCCGAAGGCCGCCTACGCAGAAATGTGTTCTCTGCAAAAGGTGCTGAGCCCCTCTTCTTTGGCAACACAGAAAGGAGAATTCTACGTAGTACAGCCCAGCCAGCAAAATCATCGTAAACAAGCTCGTAATTGGATATTTTCTCGAAGAAAAACCTGGTTAAAAATCGTTTATGATAGCCGTTTACGACTCTTTTTCGAGCACTTTTTCGCTTTAAATTGTGCATCGCCTACGAACAGTCGTAAACGGATCGAAAAAGCATTCGTATGCGAATATTTTTAAGTCCGTTTTTTAATTGTAAACGAGTCTCGTAAACGATTAATTTACGTTAAAAAGCGTTTTTCAACACTGCTTTATCTACTGTTTTTGAATGCTAAAAATAAAGGCAATTAATTACTTGAAATTATTGTAGTTCTTTTATTGAATGGAATTATAATTAATAAATATTTGTAGTGCCGGATCAAAGTATTGGCACAGAGAATTTTTCGCAATGTATGCAAAGTTTTTTACTTGAATTTCTTTTCGCACATTATTTTTTTTAAATACAGTTAGTATGAAGATCTACTTTCAAATCAGATTTTTGAGAAAAATTCTAAGTATGCAGTTTTAAATCCCATTATATTTTAGTATAACATAGTGCAAGCTTGAAGTTGCCAGAAAACCGCGTTGATTTTTGGCAATTTTTTCACGCAGTTTCTTCCATGCAAATTATGTGCGACATTTTTTTTTTGTATGGAAGAAACTGCGTATAAGAAATTGTCAAAAAACAAAGAGGTTCTCTAGCTATTCAAGCGTGCACTTTATTATACTAAAATTAAATGAGCTATAAAACTGCATACTTAAAATTTTTCTAAAAAATCTGATTTGAAAGTAGAACTTCATACTAACTATATTTTTATAAAAAACAATTAGAGAAGAAATCAGAATAAAAAACTTTGCATTCATGGCGAAAAATTCTCTGTGCCAATATTTTTTCCCGGCACTGTATATGTGAAGATATTTTCAGATAAATAAATATTAACAAACTATCTATTAACAAATTAAAAATTAAATAAGAGGGGTTTAATATATATTATAAAGTTGCTGAATTTATTTTTTATCTTTTTTGCCCATAGGCTGCCAATTTTTTTTGCCGGTCGTGTGCATATTGGAAGTGCTTCTTTGATACGGAAATAAAAACTTCTTCGTGGGAGTTAAATTTTTGACGAAAAGCACCTAAGAAAATAAAGTGAAAGATTAAACTCCATTGGAAACCGGAAAATTTAATTAAGTAAAAAGTGGTAATAAATAATATTATGATCCGTACTTCTTATTGCCCCAGTCGTTGCCAAACCAATAGCGCTGCTTTTGGTACCAGTTCCCTTCCACGAGAAAAGTTTTGCTACCTCATCTGTAATAATTTTTTTTTTAATGAATCATTTATTGACGCTAGTACGGATAAGGCTTCGGATTTCGCATGCCTTTTTAATTGAGAAGCCATATTATCAATAAAACATTAAGTTCAATAACTGCAAAAACCTAATAAACTAGCAAATTAAAAAAATAAATAACTATAAACTTACGAGATAGGGGAATTAAACGTTTAAATCCTTTAGTGTTACTCCGCGCAGCCTGTGAAAGAATTGCAAAACTCGGTAAACTAATTTGTATTTTTGAATTACATATGTAGTAGCTACTTACAAGAAGTTTAATTATAAAAGAAAGTGGTAGATCGTCCTTGGCGTTTGCACCAGTCTGCCAATAAATCACATACTTAATAATTTTCTTAAATTGAATATTTAACAAACTACGTATAAAATATTGTGATTGAAGAAAAATTGTCAACAAAACTAAAATTTTTTCTTGTGCTGACAAATTACTACAAGCCTCTTTCTATTATATTTTTTTTGTTTTATCGTTTACGAGCTTTTCTCTAACTATTTGGCGATACGAGAATCCCTCGTAAAACATAATGTTCGTAATATGTACGTTTTCTTGCTGGCTGGGTTAATACTTTACACACAGTCATCGACTGTCATTCAAAGCGATCTGACGTGTTTTCAAGTGTTTGCTAGTGTTATATCTCCGTTATTCCCAACCATTAACTATTTT